AATTACCAGGACTACACCAAAACAAAAAGCTTTCACACAGGAAATGAAACCATCAGAAAAATGAAAAGGCAACCTACTGAACAGGAGGAGATATTTGCAAATGATATATCCAAAAGGGATTAATATCCAGTATGATAGAAGATGTATACAATTCAAAACCAAAACAAAATAATTTAATTAAAAAATGGGCAGAAGATTTTTCCAAAGACGACATACAGATGGCCAACAGATACATGAAAAGATGCTCAACATCACTCATCATCAGGGAAATGCAAATCAAAAGCACAATGAGTTATCACCTTACACCTGTCAGAATGGGTAGTGTCGAAAAGAAATAACAAGTGTTAGAGAGGACGTGGGAAAAAAGAAACCCTTGTGTACTACAGGTAGGAATGTGAATTTGTACTGTGGAATGTAAGCTGCCACTGGGGAAAATTTTTTGGAGGCTCCTCAAAATTTAAAAATAGAAATACCGTATTATCCAGTAATTCCACTACTGGGTATTTAACCAAAGAAAATGAAAACACTTATCTGGAAAGATACATGCTCCTCCCCACCCATGTTTAATGCAGCATTGTTACAATAGCCAAGATATGGAAGCAACACAAGTGTCTACTGAACAATGAATGGGTAAAGATGTGGCGTTTGTGTGTACTCAGCCATTAAAAAAAATGAGATCTTGCCATTTGTGACAACACGTATGAACCTAGTGGCTACTATGCTAAGCGAAGTAAGTTAGAGAAAGATAAATACCATAGCATTTCACTTGTACGTGGACTGGTAAAAGTATTAATAATAAAAACATACCAAAAAAGGAGACAGATCCATAAATACAAAGAGGTATGGCTACCAAAGGAGAGGACCATGAGGGGATGAGCAAAATAGGTGAAGGGGAGTGGGAGGTACCGAATTCCAGGTACGGAATGCAGAATTCATGAGGAGGAAAGGTACAGCATAGGGAATATAGTTAATAATATTGTAATAGTATTCTATGGTGACAGATGGTAGCTACACTTTGAGCCAGCACAGCATAACATAGATGCTGAATCATCATGTTGTATACCTGAAACTAATGCAACATTGTGTATCAACTATACTTCAATTAAGAAAAAGAAGACAAGACTTCAGAGAAATGCTGAAGGGCTGTACACATGCTCATGCTCAAAATACCACAAAACATGGAGCCCCCACATTCACTCAAGTATAGCGGAGAACAGACACACGTTAGAATACTGTCTGGCCCCATGTTAGCTACCCAAATCACCTTTGATGAATTAATGAACCATTTTAAGCATCATTTTCCTCATTTGCAAAATGGCAATAATAGTAACTCACTGACAAGGCTCTATTACGTTAACCGATTTGGGCAAGCCATATCTCCTAGCCACCCCCTCCCCCAACTATGCTATTGTCTCATGTATCTTGTGCATATATCTAGTAGCTCTCTCTGCCTAAAACTCTCCCCCTCTCCTTCTGTGACTGGCTAAAGTCAAGCGATTTATCAACCTTTATTATCACTTGATCCAAGAAGGTTGCCTTGATACCACCATTCCTGAAGGTGAGAGTTGCTCACTGCTCACTCTGTTCTTGTGCCTCCTCCTTCAGAAATAACCCCTTGTTGTATCCTGAAGCACCACTCTGCTCAGGCCCCCACACCCTAGGCTGGGACATTTCTGAGAGTTCCCTGTGGCTGATATATCTCCACAGTGCCTGGCAAATACAGTCTGATGGATTTAGTGAGCACATAAATAAAAGGTCTTGGCAAAGGAAGAACTATTGCAAAGGAAGGACCACTGGGAATACACAGGAGCCCAAGGCTACAATGTACCTTAAGAAGAAAAGATTTCAACAAGGAGAAAATCAATACCATTAACTACTGTAGAGAGGTCAGGATATAAGACAACTGACAAAAGAACAATAAACTTAGAGATGAGATCTCTGGCAGCCTATGAGAAGGTTGGTAAGTGTCGAACATTAAATCTTTAGTGACATAAAAAAAACCACAAGGGAGGTTCATACTTTCGGGTGAAGAATAAAGTGAGATTCCCACTGGCTGAGCCTAGAGAGAGCACAGGCCAGAAAGAGGCATGGGGAGAGCAAAAGGGTGGGACAACTACTGTTAGAGTCTGACAGAGAGCCCAATAGAAAATGGGTTTCTGGGTTGCCTGGGTAGCTCAGTCAGTTAAGCATCCAACTTCAGCTCAGCTCATGATCTTTCAGTTTGCAAATTCAAGCCCCGCATAGGGTTCTCTGCTGTCAGCAAGAACCAACTTCTGATCCTCTGTCCCCCTCTCTCTGCCCCTCCCCTGCTTGTTCTCTCTCTCTCTCTCTCTGTCTCTGTCTCTCTCCCTCCCTCCCTCTCAAATATAAACAAACATTAAAAAGAAAGGAAGGAAAGAGAAGGGGAGGGGAGGGAAGGGGAAGCGAGGGAAGGCGAGGGGGAGGGGGGAGGGGGGAGGGAGGGAGGGAGGGAGGGAGGGAGGGAGGAAGGAAGGAAGGAAGGAAGGAAGGAAGGAAGGAAGGAAATAAATGGGTTTCTGAGAAGGTGGGGGACAGTCAGTTACAGAGGAAAAACAGTAACTTCTATGAAATAAACTGGCATGCTTATAATGATGTCCTCCCAAACACATCTAAGACCTAGAAACAGAGGACACTGTTTACCCATCCCTAGGAGTCAACAATTATCCAATGTTGGAGAGAGAAGCAGGACCAGAAACAAGGTGGAAGACATTCGAAAATATCCAACCAACCATGCAATAAGAAAGGCCAGAAGCCTGATGACAGAATACAATTGAATAGAAAATATTTTTTAAATACAAAATATCTTACAAAGTATTTAATAACACAAAACCTACAAAACATGACTGCAAGACTGAATACGCAGACATTCATAAATCCCCTTTCTATTCAACCCACTCTAACGTCTTTGGAAACCATCTAGGATACGACATACTGGCACCAAAAAGGTGCGGGGAAAAGGAGTTACACATTATGGCAAAGGAGATAAAAGCTGCAGTCATAAGAAAATGGCTTTAGTAAGTTTAGAAATGTACACAATGATTACACGCATCTATATTATTTCTATTGACATAGGCATCATTGAGAAAACAAAATTTTTGTCATAGGAAAATATGTGGGACACTCTGGGTTTCAATCTCTTGATGTTGGACAGGAAGGAGGGGGAAGGAAATAATCAGATTGTTACTTGGTAAGAATCGAACAAATAAGACAAGGATGACGTGCCTCATAGGTGAGTAAGCGCGTGCTGATAAAACAGTAATTTGAAAGCAATCCATTCTCCATATACATTTTCTAACAATAAGATATTTTAAATATACAAAAATAAAAATACGCCAACCAATGTTGGTGACACCAATGCGCCCAGCTGCCCAGCGTTAATGGATAGTAATATGTACATATGTTGTTTCCGAGTTTAAGAGATGAAATACCATGAACACAGCTAAACCCCAACTACCCTGAGCCCTCCCTTGCTCCTCCAACCCTCCTCAGGAGTAAGCCTTGTCCTCACGTGCGAATATATCATTCCCGGGGCTCTAAGCTCACCACACAGAGCCTGCATGGGATTCTCTCTCCCTCTCACAAACTAAATAAGCAAACATTTTTTTAAATGTTCAAAAAAAACAAACAAAAAAAGAATGTATCATTCCCAACCAGGCCATGGATCACATACAATATGACTCCACAGAGCTTAATCTCTGTTTTGCTTCTAAAGGAAGCTTCACGACCTTTTAGGGACATTCGAGATAAATATAAGGTGCTCTTTATCATTGTTCTCAAATAGATTTCTATAAAATAGCTATTTAAATTTCCAGGAGACTATATAGGATCAGATTATTTGTGACGAAATCTGTAAGAGATAAACTCGAAGAAGATCTTAGGTTTCAGGGTTACCTAAAATCAACTTTTTTCCTATCTAGAGTCCCAACTACAGCCAAGAAAACCAAATTTTTAACCCTCCTCACCAAATATTTACTAAATGTCTCCTACGTACAGGGCTCTCAAAAGTGTCTGCTCCTCAAAGAGAAATCACTGTCCTAGCAGCATCAGCATCACACCCAAACTCAGACCTACAGAATCGGAGCCTTCACTTTAGCATGATCTCCAAATGACACGCACATACGCTTGAGTTTGAGAGGTACTTGTTTAGAGAAATCAGGACGGTGGTAACACAGACCAAGGAGGAATCAAATCTAACCACCATGCTGCCAAACTTATTCTCGGCCTATTGGACAACACGGCTTTCAGGTGTTACATCTGCAAAGTCCACACATCAGTCTCATTAGACCAGTAGCTATTCAACCAGGGCATACTGGGCCTCCC